CGAATTTCAGAACTACGTATGACAAAACGGTTCCCTTCATTCGTTTCGCCCTAATATCTCGTGTTTGAAAGCGAAAACTGACAGTTAACCCATTCCATATCTAGCATCCCTTCATTGTGCTCGGTAGGTGAAGTAACTTAGATTTCCCATCCTGCATTATCTTCCTCTGTGGTAAGCATAATTTGTTCTGGCTTGTCACTAGTCCATTCAGTCTCATTAAATGTTTCTTTACCCAAGACTTGACTTAAATGAGAATAAACTAGCTAACAGTCGTCTAAAGTATCAACACGTTTTAGCAAATCGTCAACGAAAAACTTTTCTGGATACCTCAATAACTAATTTATCAACCTCATGATTGTTGTCAAAAATCATTCCTCATAAGAGATTGTCATAAAACATGTCCTGAACTCTGTAGAATACTCCACATGGCCCAATAAGCACCATGACAACCAATAACCATCTTTGTCATGCGGTAGAACAGAGACTTGGGAGAACTCCTTTTTTAGCATCGGCGGTGATTCCTGTTGACCACTGATGAAATCCAGTGAAAACAGCCAGCAGGTGGTTTGATTATTCGGAACCGATAAGTAAGTTCTCACGCAGAGAGATTCCTGAGTACTATGTAGCACAGTAGATTACAAGCAATAATTATTTGGGATTCATCGAACAGAACGGTGGATGGTACGACGAATGCCAAAATTGTTCACCGACATAATCCCTTCTGATAGTTTCAGTGAAATCCCTCCGAGCACATTATATTAACATACCGCTTGTGCGCAGCCCAATGGCGAGTATTTAAGCCCCTTCAACGAATCCACTAGAATTTTCAAGCGTTCCCTGTTATTAGGTAGCTGTTGTGGGTTACGCCTTGTAAATTCTATTTGACGATGTCCACTTTTTTAAGAGCTTTACGACCTTAGTTGGACATGGGCACGTAGTTACTCTCATCCTTAAACCCATTCTTATAGAACTTTTGGGATACTCTGTTTTTGCATTAGGTAACTTATGACTTATTATCCTAATTCTTTCTAGTGTCTTACTGTAAGGTCCGAGTAAAGTCTTCTCTAAAAGCGTTTTTATGGTGCAAGGTTCTTTAGCCCCACTGAACAGTTTGTGCCTAAACGCACTTTTGTCGCATTATAAACGGTTGGAAGCTTTATGTCTTTATTTTTAAATCCTGTTAAAGTGGAGCTGTGCAAGTAGCTCCAAGATATCACTGAGTTTATTATTTACACTATAGGGCTTCTACAACACAGTAAACTATCGCTGCTCGGATTTAGTAATTTATTAGGAAACTCAGAAGGATGGTACAGGTAAACAAATGGGAAATATATCTTCCCAATGATTTTAAGGCTTCCTTTATCTGTTGAATGATGAGTACCGTTTCTTAGTGTTTGACTTGGTTTTCTGCTTCACCTTCCCTTCGCAGTGCTTTAGAAGATAAGAGTTCAAAAACATTATCAACCTTCTACAGTATTACCAGCTGCCAGTCGGTAATTTGAGGAATTATTCTGACAGAAAAGTCACCTTCTGAAACAAAACCTTTTGCAACAGCGGCAATTTTTCAGCTATGTCTTTGAAATCCTTGATATAAAGGAAGATTATGGTGGAGAAAGCATTAGTTGAACTCGTTTACAAAATGGAGTAGATTGTGAATGCAGCATTTTAAGAAGTCAGTTGGTCAGGCTGTTTGAACGACTTCCAGCTCGCTCCCAGTTGGCTTCAACTAGAAATAACCCTCAGGATTGTTGCGTGACCACCTATCCCATCAAACCTGATCTTCAGTCACACTACCTGCCAACTCTTTGGTCAGGCCCACCCCCACCACCTATATTAATGCCTCGCGCAATTACTGACGAATGCACTTATAAGTTCAGTATTTCTATACATCGATAACTATTAGCCATATAATATATTTATCATATGCTTGCACCCTCTTTCCTTTGCAGTAATATTTTGAGTTCATTTCCCAAGAAACTGGTACACACTCATGCCAGCGAAAGTGGGATGGATGACACATGAGATGCCACAAAGTGGTGAGTAGTCGCCTACTAACAGGTTGCCATCATTTGAGTGATTTCTACTTTTGAAAGCAGTGATTAGGTTGCCAGCCATAGTTGTGTGTGAAAAGACCTTATTTTCCGCAACTCTTCGTAATATGGTTTGCACCGAAGACCCAATACCTCTTTTGATGAGGTTCTCTAAACTCTTACCAAGAGGTTGCCGTCTCTTTTAAGTGGTTATGGAGCGGCTATTTCATGCGACTTAAGGTGCAATTATGCATAGGTTTTGTAAGGAAAAGCTCACCTAATTACCTACGCTAGAAGTATGTAACGGCTTATTCAGTCGTCACTTCATCCAATTAACTCACGATTCCATACAGTTTTCCATTAGAACGAGATGTGAATCACATTCAAACGCTAGACAATTTAGATTGTTGCTCTTTAGGAGGTATGGTACTCTCTGAGTCGTCAGGTATATGGCTGGGCCGCTTTTGCATTTCGTTGCAGTTAAAAGACATTTCATTTTCCAGTGCATGGTCTTGGAGGTTTTCAGGTCAGCCTACAACCAGTCTGTGACTTCCGAAAATTTAATTGTATTCGAAACCTGTACATCACCAAAATAGAGAAGTGCTTGACAACTCAGACGGGAAAGCAAGCCATTTTTGGGAACCGACTGAATTTCCTTCCACTTAAGTAATCGATAGACCATCGTAGAAGAATACCACCAGTGCTAGTCTGTCTTATTTTGTGTTGAGAAGTACCAAGTGCTTTTGCAGAATCGGGAAAGACCACATGGGCTTAGACATTCGCCTCCTACTATGATGTCCATATATTCCTTGCTGACAGTAGGTTTGTTGTGCACGCATTTCCCTCCGGAAACTATGTTGTATTTCGTGAAGTGTGTGGTTCCTGTCTGTGTGTTTTCTAATTTGACCACCAGGGAGGCTTTCTAACACTTTTGAAACAACTTGAAGTAGGGCCTCTGATCTACAATTTATTATATCTTACCTATTCCCGTTCCCGGAAAATGATCATAGAACAAATATCTTCTCGTCATTATGCTGTCTGAACCCAACTAGTGTTGACTCAGGTCACATAATGGCCACAGTGAATTCAAATATCATCGCAAACTGGGGATATTCCCAGGCCGGGTTTAAACAGTTTCCTTAGGATCATCGTGAGGCTGACGTTGAATGTTTCTATTAATTTATTCCTGGCTGTTCAACGAAACAACTACCTTGTCTTTTGACAGAGATGCCTATCATATTGTTTAGCCTTATGTCTGAGATGGAACTGAATGTTTTGTGCATTTCCATACTAGTGAGACACTATTAATTGAGACATTTTAGGTTTTGTTTCCTACATAAATTATTGGGATTTATAAGGAGCAAGATGGCAAGGTTTGCTTGAAATGACTTCCTGTCGCTCAGAGCCCTTGTGTTACGATGTTTCTGAACGTTACATACACTTCGTGGTCAGCCTGCTTCCTGAAGAATAGAGTTTGGCCTAATTAATGCTCTGTGTTTCACCTTAACCACGAAGAATCTTACCTTAGACTTAAGATGACTAGAGGGACTATGGTTGAGATCCTCTTTACCATTTCTCAGTTTAAAGCAGTGGGTCACACTACCCGATCTGTGGGCCATGTGTCACCTGGAGATTTTCCCATTATGATGTGGCGAGGTATGCCAGAATATAGGTAAGGTCACGTAGCATCCCACTCTTAACATATGTAAATAACCAGGCCAAACGGCGTTGTCACAGTATGGTAACTACCCAGAAGAATTTAATCTGAATGTTTTCTGTTAGTAAATAATTCCCAGTCATTATATGATGCAGTTTCGATGGCTTTCTACCATTATTTCACGTAGTTTTACCCCCTAATTTCTAAATCAAACCAACACTTCTGTTTAAAGCTCCCTGATCAAAAACTGCCCCCAGGTTGAGCGATAGGGCTGTTGAGCCTGACGGCATTGACGTTCACGAATTGTACGGAGTATACTGACGCAAGATATTATACCAACAACTTCTGTAGTATTCGTTCTTCGTGTTCCAAAGACAAAGCAAAAGGCCAGATTGATCAACCAAAGTACGTGATATATTTCGGGACCAAATCGTGAACCGTGTGGAGTGCTTAGCTGGCTAGTGATCGTGCACGCACGTGACACGACGGAGTACCAAATGGCAAGGATGCTTCACCGGAAGCCTTCAGCTAAAAAAGTCGACTTAAACAGTGAGGGTCAGCATCCACTGTTGAGTGATGATTGCTGCGGTCAATAATTTTGGGGAATTATTTACCGCTACAGGGCCTTAAAGTCTCCAGCAATAACGATTTGATAACAGCACAGGTTAGGGTTCTGAGAAGTCACTGGTTGTTTTCTGACTGAATGTAGTCGATATATATTATATCAAATAGATGCTTAGTGCAGCAGGTGCTGAACAAATACTGTCTCGAGTTTGTAAGTTCAACTGGTGGTCTCTGTGTTCTCCGGAAACCCGGTCTCCGCTAAGCTTCCCAGGGTTTTGTTGGTTACCTCTAGTATATATCCTAGTCATGCGGGTGATTAGCTTTCGAGTTATTTACAGTGTATTTTGTAGAGACTTTCTAGCTATTTTCAGTCGTACAAAATATATCTACACTGGTGAAAAATGTAATACCCATAGTTAGGGTCTTACATGATGCCCGATATTCAGTATTAATTAGCTGTATACGAACATTATTACACCAGCAGGTCATATTAAATGTGAAAAACATTTGATCTTGCCCGATTATGTCAAATGTGAATATTTCCAAAGTTGTTATAGTGACTCAATCTGTGTCAAATCATTGTACTCTAGGTCATTTATGGGAGCCTCCTATGAATTTTTCAAATGTCGTGGTTTTTAGTCTTGACACCTATTGTGTGAAAACTGATGCGTTATGTCAAGGAATAATACAAAAAGTACAAGAATTATAATTAATAATTTTTTCAATCAGATCATAGATTTGTTCAGTATATGACTCCCAATCTGTTGATGAAAAAGACTAAATCAGAAGAACCAGTGCGTGTTTTCGCTGTCAACCTTTCTGGCAAGAATAGTGATTACAAAATTGAAATTATTGAAAACTTGGAACAGTTTACGGAATTAAAACAGCTGAATTTATCGTATAACCGTATCTACAAAATTAATGGGTTATCAAGTTTGTGCCACCTCACTTCGTTGAATATTTCACATAATTCCATTAAATCTCTGGATGGGATTCAGTCTTTGTCTAATTTATTGGTACGTTGGAATATTCTCAGTTTATTTTGAAGGCACTGAAAGCTAACGATAACCAAATAACATCGATCCCAAAATGGTTGTGCAAGCGGCTTCCAAAATTGAAGACTATCCATTTGCACTGCAATCGAATCGACTCCGTAAGTTTGTTTGCTTTCGTTTTATGCTGTCAGTTTTATAAATAAGATGGATCATTTTTTTTTCTAGTTACTTAAATGGGTCTATTACAAATGAGCTTCAGCTTCGTCTTAGTGTGTGAACTTGTTTTCTACTGTGGAAACTTTATTAAAGATAAATTTTCTGTGACTAACAGATACCTTTTCACTTATCACGTTCTGTACACAGTGTTGGCGGAATTAGTAACCTAATACATTTTCTGGACTGATCTACCCGTCATCGCTCTTGACATACATGTCCTTAAAGATTCATTTTCAAATTAACGTAGTGCATATGAATGTACGTGCGCCGAACTGTTACTCATTCAGGTGCACGGTAGTTTTTCCTCGCTTACTCAGATAGTTATTTCTATAACTTGTAAGTTTTGGTTTTTCAACCAAGTTGGTATGTTCTATTGAAGAATGTTTCCTTGTATATTTATTAATAATTATGGAGTGGATTAATAGTTGTTTCTTAGTTGCCTCAATCTAGAAAACAGTCCTGTAATATGTGTTAATGTTTTCATATCTGTTTCAAACCGAATATGTAGTCCAGTGATGCCTGAAATACTAGATTAAGTGATTCCTCAGGTCCACTTTCTTCAAAAATTCTGATTACCCCATGAAATATTCACTCACTGTGTTATTTGATCAGTGATAACTGTCTTGTGTGTATACACTTTTTTACATTTAAAATCCAAGTGATGGACCATGCATGTGATGAAAAGTAATGAGTGATGACGACAGACTTTAAAAACATTGAAGTCAGTTAAGAAAAAGTGACGGATGAACAAAAAGGGTTTTCCAAAACGTAACAAGTGTTGGTTGTCCTTAATGGATGAATCCATTGGAAACATTAAGCTTTCACCATTTAATCTGCAGATTGTTTGATATGTTTAACTGAGTATACCAAATCTAAAAAGCTACAGTATCCACTTCATTCTATGAATTACTCCGGATATTCCCTAAAGTGGATGTGTATTAATTTAATGCATAAAATTTGATTTCGAATAATAAAATACCGTGAAAAATTTGACCAAGCATTTCATTATTCTTCCCATGTGTGTGATAACGAGATAGATTCAAAAACCATTCCAGCCTTCTTCGTCCCCGTGTGACCTGAAACTAGGCTTTCTCAGTGTATTTTTGGATATGAGACTTTTCACTATTGATGATTAAAAATATTGACACCGTTTGAAAGCATACATTTGATTTCTACAAATTATATGTTTCAGAAATACATTTTTATGTCAATTCCTTTATAGCTAAATTTAAAATAGTTTTGTATTTTTAAAATGTCATTTACTTCTAACCCTATAGCTTCATCAAATAACATATATGCGATCTTTATCGAACCTAACAGTTTTCACATTCGAAGGCAATCCAGCAGTTGACCAACTAATAGTCAGTGCTTATAACAGTTGTAGCAGTGGTGATGAAGCCGTATTAAAGAATGCTATTGATAAATTCGATCCTAATTCAGTTTATCGAATCTTCGTTATATTTCATTTAAACTCACTCATATTGCTTGACAACAAGGAAGTTCTTCCATTTGAAAGACAAGTGGCTGAACAACGGTTTTCCCAAGGTAAGATTATGAAATCCATTAGAGTTACCAGTCGTAATTTCGTAACAAGACTATAAAACTTGACATGAATGTTTATTTTCATTTCTTCCAGTCGAAGTATCTAGGTATTTAGAGAAGTTGGATAAGTGCGAAAATCGTTTGAATGAAGTAGAAAATAAGAAATCTTCACTGGAAAAGGACTTACTTAACCATCAGTCTAAGTTAAATGAAGCTTTGCAAGAAAGGAATTTGGAAAGCGAATTAATATCTCATTTAGAAGAAGAGTTGCGTGCTAAAGATAAATTAGTAAGTCGAATCTCCGTATAATTTCTACTTGTAATTCTGTAAAATTTGTATGGTTATTAAAAACAAATAAGGGAACATTTTGGTTTTAGATTCCATTCAATTTCGCTCCAAAGTTTCCCTTACCGTCTATTAAATTTGCAAATGAAAGCAACGCTTAGAGAATTCTCAGAACTATTCCGAAAATAAGAAGGCTTCTCCACATTAAAAGCATTCACTGATAAGGACGGATTAGTTTTGAATAATCAATTTATCACATAGGACGTAAGAAATCATATTTAAATAACCACTAGAAATTCAGTGCTCCTGCAAATTGCTTATCTAATTATATGTATTTATTCAATGAATACAGTAAGGTACCAAAAAATCCATATTTTTTATCCTAGCAGTTGATGAATCATTATTTTAAATATTTTTCGCTTATGTATCATATTTCATAGTATAACCGTGATTATCAGGTAGAAGTTTCCGAACCTGTTGTATCTGGAATATTATTAAACTCTTTAAAAGGATATATTATAGTATTTTGTTACTATTTGTCGCCTTTCCTATATATATGCAACAACAATCAAACCTTGACTAGCATTTTAAGAATAATGCATGATAGAGTTTTCTGTCGAATTGCTGAATACTCCACACTTATTGGAAACAACATTCCATCAAACTTGAAATATTTCTTCGATATAAAAAAATCATCATTGCCATATGATTTGTGTATGATTTCATTCATTTCGTCGGCGAAGTTAGTAAACTTAATGTTGTGTAGATGTTTTTTGACTACTTATGAATAGGTCATTCTAAGTGATAAAGAATCAGTTTTCGGAGACAGCGTGATGAAATAAGTTTCTACTCTTATGTTAGCAAAAACTTTTATCAGTATTTACAGTGGTTTAAATGTCCTGCTAAGGAGCTGAAGTGTGTGTGTGTGTGGCTCAGCCTAGAAGTTAATGAGAGATTTCTTTTGTTTTAATTACATAGGTAGGTGCTTTTGAAGTCTGATAAGAAAATCCATGGACTAATCACTCATGCCAATTACTTTTTTGCTATTTTAATGGATTACTTCATGTTAAAATGTATCATTTGCCATTGTAGGACACTTTACAAACTTGTACATTTTTGTCAATTCAGAGTATTTCATTTATGCCACTTATAAAAGATGAGGAGTATATTTATCCACCTGAATCAAGGTTACACTAGTGTCAGAATTTATAATTAATGAACATTTCGTACATACTTTAAAACTACTACGCTGCATAAAGCAGTTGACAAGCATTTGTGAGAGTAATAACTTTTGTACAATTTATTAAGATTGTATATTTTGTGTCTATTTTTTATTCTATGGGCGTTATAAATTTTATTTAGGACAGCTTAGTAATATGAATTTTTTATTTAGTCTGATGACTATAGCAAGGTGGGAAAGACAATCAGCTATTCAAATATTTGTCAATCCTACATCTATACAATATTTCTTTCGAATTATCTGGCATTCCACTTTATTTTAGTAATTAGAATAGTTGTATATATATATATATCCATTTATTCACTTTCGTATGGTTACCGGATCTTTTTGAAAAGATACTTTATAGTCATTCATCTCTGCTGCGTAATGCCTGCGCAAAAATAACATTATTGAATATATATATATGGATTTAGAGTATTCTCTGTGAACTAAACCGACTTCTCAACGTTGAATTTCGCACTAAAGTGCAGCATTTCAAGTTATCGCATTCCAAAGAAGCAAAAATGAAGGTAGGAAAAAAGGAAGTGCTGGAAATCTATAGTAAACGGAATTGTATGGGAGATGGCATAATTATACGTATAATAATGGGAACTCAGTAGATCTGGGAAATCGCAGAGTGAATACATCTGTATCATTGAGAGCGATTTCTAGCCTCAGTTTGTCTTATTTGCAGTATGCTTGGTTGGGATGATTTAAGCTAAATAGTTACATTAGATACTGACACGGTTCAACCAAGCAATAGCTGGTGGTATGTTTTTAATCTAGGTTCTGAAATATCTGAGAATTTTATATCTGTTTATACTCCTTAAGCACACCTCAAAAAATGTAAGTAGTGTAGTTACTAAATTGTCCATTTTGTTTTATGTTTTCCTCTCATTTTGTAACCAATTATGTCCGTTAATTTTCCTTACACAAATTATTATGTATGTAGACGTAATTTTGGTAACTGGCTTAAAATGTAGTTGTTTAATGGGTGGGACAATAGTCACATCTATTTTTACCCTATTAGGTCACTAGGTAATTTAAGGCTGTTTAAATTTTCACACTGTTGATTGCATTATTTCAGCATTTTTTATTTATATAACTAAAGCTGTTTAACATTGGCTCTATATATTTTACAATTTCGCATAGCTTCATTCCAAATCACAGGAACTAGCTCGTGCATGCTTAAAACACTTTGAATTGGAACAGGAATTAGCTTTTCATAAAATTGATGAGAAGTTGAGTTTGGCTGATTTATGTCTACCGAAACAAAACAATTCATCTAATATATATCAAGTGAGTTGTTCTTTTATTCCTATTTTGTATAAATACATTTTTAATGGATTTGACATGATATTATTCCAGCTTTTTACTATTAGAATAGAAGTAATGAATTAATCGTGTATTCTACGTGTTTTCAGTTATTTAAGTAGACTGATGTGCTTGTTGAACTGTAAATTTCAACTTTTGCTGATTTTTTTTAATCGTTTTATTCAAGTATTTGCTAGAAGGAAAGAAACACTATCACTTTAGTGTGTTTTATAAGATGTGAGTTGACTATTGAGTTGTGTTACGTTAACTACGCTAGGTGTATTTGATCTAATTGATGCTGAAAATGAGAAAAAATCTCATGGCAGACAACAGTCAGATTAATCGAAGGTCTACAACTTTAAGGCGTCCTGCTTAAATCACTGGGCTACCAGAATTTCCATCCATCTGAGTGCTTAAACTCTTCTGCACTTCTTATTGTTTTAATCGTTCACTTATATAAGATGAGCAGTACATGAACTAGCGCGCATATTTAATTAGTTTCCCAATAGATACTATGCAGTTTTCGAAGCAATTGAAGAAATGTACAGAATTGGTTCTCTCCTCATATGAAGCAACATCACGATAAATGATGTACCTCAGATTATTGCTTTACATGTAAATTCTATATGGAGAGGAAATATTTTAGAATTAAATACAGTGAAAATTTCTGTAATATATGTTCGCATATTGTCTGAAATAAAGCCTTATTATTAAAAAAATGCACTGCAAATATTTACAATGATATCGTATTAGCAGTTTATGTAAGAATCAAGGGTGCTGCAAGGGCGTACTACATTTAAAAACAACCAGCTCGAAATGTATCTCCCGTTATTTATCTCATATAGATCTATACATTTTTGTAATATGGCTTATTATTCCTGTCTGGTTATCTGAGTCTGATATGAAAACAACTTACCAAAACTAATTTGAAATAATGATTTAATTTTCATCATTTTATAACGATGTGAATTCACCGGTTGGATAGTAATCTTTGATTTATCTCTTAAATTTCTACTCCATGTCATCAATAATTATTCAATTACCTTGTTAACATGAAAAAGATACTTTGTAATTCTTTTTATTTTGTGTATAATTTCGTGGAAAAAATGAATAAAGAGGACAGTACAAAGTATTTTGTATCTTACATCTAATTATTATAATAATAATATATAAAAAAAGCTTTATTTCAGACAATATGAGAACATGTGGTACAAAATTTTCAGCGTATTTACTTCCAAAATAATTTTTTCTTCATACAGGATTTACATGTAAAGTAATAATTTGAAGTATATCTTCATTTCGTTGAAGAATTATTATTATTGTTCCCTTGGGTTCCTAGTGGAACATAGGCCTTCAACTGCACGTCTCCACTTGCTTCTGTCTTCTGCTGTACTTTTCACCTGCATCCATGTTAATCCATACTATTTCCACTCCTCTTCACATGATCTCCTCCATGTCACCCTTGGACGTCCCACTCTCCGCTTCCCTTTCGGGTTCCACTCGAGCGTTGGCCTGATACGCGATGTCACCCAGCGGCCTCCTCAGCGAGTGTCTGATCCATCTCCACCTTCTCCTGCATATTTGTTGAGCAATTGGTTCCTGTTTTGTTTGTTCCCATAGCTTCTTGTTTGTGATTCTTTCCGGCCATCTGATCTTCAGTATAGAGCCAGCGAAGACAGTTGTTGATAAAGGTCTGCAACAGGCTGTTGGAAATATTCTTTGTGACCCACCAAGTTTCTGATCCGTATAGAAGAACTGATTGACTTGACGTTTGTATTGAGAATCCGAATTTTGTTGTTGATGCTGAGTGACGAAGATTTCCAGATTGGTTTCAGGTGGTGGATGAATGTGTTTCTCGCCTTCCTGATTCTCGATTTGACATCCTCGTCCGTTCCTCGTGTAGTTGAGACAATGCTCCCTACCTAGATAAGTGAATGAAGTAACCTCTTTCAAATCCCTCCCGTTGATGGTGATTGGTGCTGAATGTTGCTGCTCTTGTTGTTGTTGTTGTTGTTGGTCGTTGAAGAATTGCACAGCGTTTACTTGGAAGCAAGTTAAATCACAATGCAAGTTCTTGTGTAGGTCATGTGATATAACTGAACGATTAAAACAACGATAAATCCAAATGTAATTAAGCATTTTGTTGGAAAGCAACTCCGGTAATCCAGTGATTTAAGCAGGCCGCCTTATTTGGTCTTTTTCATAGTATTGTTGTTATTATGCTCCATTGTGAAGCATTATATTTTAGTGTGATGCTTTGCATTTTACCTTACTTCTATTAACCCTTCTGTGAGTTAAATATCGGTGGTAGACTTCTTTGTTATTCAATATTTCCTATTCACCATTTCATCTGTGGCTGTGTGAAATAAGACTTCCATGTACGCTCCTGTCTACTTTTGAATATTCCTTTATTAGTGCGTAATCATTTAATCATCTGCTCATTTTTACTGTTATGTCTGATGGAACTGGAGAGGAAATCCACTGACAATTTTCTAAGTAGAAGCGTAAAAATAGCTTTTTATTTTGTAGTTGTCATGCAGTTTGTGTATTTTAATGAAATAAGGCAGTTCGATATGAGTAATAAATTGTGCTCTAAACGTCTTCAGTAAACATTAATGTATAACACTGTGAGACTTTATCAAAATAAATTTTACCCAAAATGGAATTATGCTCTACCACAGTGCACAAGTTCTATTCTTATATCAAGGCAGTTCGGGAATTATGTGTAAGGCCTCAAACTTATTTTAGATGTGTGTTTGTATGTAGCTACTAGCCATCGTTTTGATAAAAGCATTCTCTTGTTAAATGAACAGTATTATGCACTTCAGTTCCTACCGTTCCACCAAGTGATTGCTAGGGAGTAACCAGTTGCATACTGTTCAGTGTGTAGTGGTGACAGAATTCTATGAGGGAATTTTACAATACGGTTATCTAGCAGCTACTATACTGATTTGTGTTTCATAAAAGAAGAGTAGATACAGGAAATCTTACCTAATTTAGTGTTAGTCTAAAGACCAACTTGTGGCTTCACATGAAAGTGCGTCATCTTTAAATATGTCGATATTCCAACTTTGAAATCCTAAGAGTAATACTATATATAGTTCTTAGCTCTTATGTTAATTTTGATTTCATTGAAATAAACAGCGTGCTTTTTCAAATGACATATTGGATGATCTTACTGTAACTGAATATTACTCTTTTTTCCAATGAAGTATAACTATGCTAACGGGATGATGATGATATCATAATTCCCTTTTGTCAATACCTAATCTGTTTCAGTCGGGAAAATTCTCTTTTGCGAAGACTTCATTTTCACAGCTGTGCAGTGTACAGTTTATATGAATCTCTTCTAATATCTCATTCCGAAATATTAAAACTAATCTGTATGAGGATTTAGTGGTGAAATGCTCGCCAAACATGCACATGATCTGGAAATGATTCCCAGCCAACGCATTCCTAAACCACTCCTAACCACCAGTAATTCGGTGGGTAGAGAAGGAACGTTAGGTGTGAGGCTAGCAACCTCACCCCATGAGAACAATAACAGCACAACTACCGAAACTTCAAACCTCAAGCTTGAAGCCTTATGTTCCATTCGGAACGCAGAAGAATGAAAAAAATCTATGTATGAATGAGTTGTAATAATTTGTTCACAGGGCAATCCCTATTATAATATTTTGTCTTTCTTAAAGGCAACGATTTAGTTCAGATTAGCGAGTTGGTGAATCCTCACTAAAGTTTTCTAAAAATTTAAATGTACTGATGTGATGACAGGACAGTTTGTAAAAAATTCCATTTTTCTGCTGATTGCTGTAAAACGGCCTTCGGCACATAACAAAAATGTAGCTGTTGCTAGACTTAATTATTTCTTTATTTAATGCTTATGGTATTTCCAACCTATTCTCTTTCTAATGCATATAATGTCACTAACAACATGTGCCTATATTTTTATGTTATCTGGGTTTACCGTATTTTCCTTCCCACTGATCGATAAAACCTGAGTGTCTACCATTTTTATTCTCTGTAATCTAATTGGCTAATATTAGGCTTCAGTACTTTCATTATGACTCATCGTGTTTTTCTCCTGTCTGTGTCCATTAGACAATCCATATGCGAAACGTTTGTCAGGCATTAAATTTACCAATTTTGCTTTTTTGTTTTAAAGACACGTTATATTCCACAAAAAGAGAATGAGGTTTCTACTGGAAGATATCAGTTTTACTAATATAACCAAAATCTCTGTCTTGCTGCTTGTAAAAATGTGTCATCAAGTGAATATCTCTCTCCGTATTTTTTTCTCGTTAACATAATGTACAGTAGTTATGTCGGTGAACTTCACTTTCATTCTGCTTCATTTATGTCCCACCTGAGAAACTGGTTAGTATCACACAAATTTTCAGACAAATTGTGACTCATAGTCTACTGCGTGAAAAACAGTTTCATTATTATTATACCAACAGGAAACTTGAGCATATGAAGCTAAAATAACTACGACTTTTCATAGTGCCCATTATATTATTATTATTGTTCCCCTGGGTTCCTAGTGGAACATAGGGCTTCAACTGCACGTCTCTACTTGCTTCTGTCTTCTGCTGTACTTTTCACCTGCATCCATGTTAGCCCATTCTATTTCAACTCTCCTTCACACGATCTCCTCCATGTCACCCTTGGACGTTCCACTCGAGGGCCTGACGTGCGATGTCACCCAGCGATGCCTCCTCAGTGAGTGTCCAATCCATCTCCACTTTCTCCTGCATATTTGTTGAGCGATTGGTTCTTGTTTTGTTTGTTTGTTCGCATAGTTTCTTGTTTGTGATTCTTTCCGGCCATTTGATCTTCAGTATAGTGCGAAGACAGTTGTTGATAAAGGCCTGAAACCTGTTGGAAATATTCTTTGTGACCCGCCGCCAAGTTTCTGATCCGTATAGAAGAACTGACTGACTTGAGGTTTGTATTCAAAATCCAAATTTTGTTGATGATGCTGAGTGACGAAGATTTCCAGATTGGTTTCAGGTTGATGAATGTGTTTCTTGCCTTCCCGATATGCGATTTGACATCTTTGTCCGTTCCTCCTGTAGTTAAGACAATGCTCCTTAGATAATTGAATGAAGTAACCTCTTTCAAATCCCTCCCGCTGATGGTGATTGGCTCTGGATGTTGCTGCTGTTGTTGTTGTTATTGATTGGTTATTTTCATAACCGCCGTCTTCACGTCGGTCCAGTATATCCCTGTCTTCTCACTGTCTGACGCATAATGCAGTCCACCACAGTTAGGAATATCATTGGTGATAATAAGCACCCTTGTCTGACTCCTGTGTTTACTCCAAACGCCTCGCTGAGTTTTCCGTTGTGGATCACTTGACACGTGCCGTTGTCGTACAGCTGTTGAATAAGGTTGATGAATATTTGGGGTACGCCGTAGTACTCGAGTAGTTTCTAAATTACATCGCGGTCAACGCTATCGAAGGCCTTCTCAAAGTCTATAAAGTTGAGGTAGAGGTTTGATTGCGATTCCATGCTTTGTTCGATGATGATGCTTAGAGTTGCAATTTGGTCAGAACATGATTTGCCTTTCCTGAATCCAGCTTGTTCTGGTTGGAACATTATAGTCTGTGAAATATTCATACATAGATTACAAAGGTAGTTTGTGAGCGGTATATCAGACGGATGTGTACGAAATATAGCAGTCAGCAAATACTTTATATTTTGTAAAGACTGTCTTTATGCAGTTTTTTTATGTTGTTGTCTTGAACTACATTTTACTGGCTAGTACATGTGTTACGTACGCCTAGTCTTCGCCTTCCTCGACAGGCAATATTAACTGACATAGGATCAGGTTGGAGAAAAGTTGGAGATGGTCAAATCAAAACCTGGCATCAGTCAATGAAATCTTTGACAGTTGGTTTGAGACACGTAGGTTTGGTGTAGGTTGCTTAGTTGGGGTCCTTGGGATGCTAAGGACCAATACTTGGAGACATTTGGTAATCGTTCTCAATAGCGCAGATGCATTCCCTCTCAGTGAGCTTCCATATCCAATAAACCCTATTGTTTTTCCACTTACTATTCTTTCTCCCTCACATTTCTGCTTATTATCGTTCTTTTGAGTCTCTTTTTTTCTCTGTTTTGTCTTCCTTCGTGTGGTACATCGAGTGTGGTAACTCGAACTACTGCACTTCTGTGCACAGTTCTTTGTTGAAACCAGTCTGTCAGTCAGTCAGACTGTTACAAAAGTAAAATACTTAATATTATGCTTAGATAATTTACACTTTTGATAGTTTTATGACTGAATCCCTTAGATAACGAACTAATAAAGTACAGATGTAAAAAGTAACTGTACTTAATAATTCAACGAATAAAGTAATAACACCTACCGAATTGTTTGCTTATGGTTTACAAACGAAACATTCTTTTTTATTATTGATAACCATGTCACAATTTAAGGCTGTGTTCACAACGATGATTTAACTTTTGAACTCTTTTTGTGATGCTCTGTCTAAGGAAAGTAATCAGAACATTTAACGTTTGTGTGAATTCAGTATACAAGCCTACCACCCATAGTCATCACAAAATCAATACATTATTGAAGATCCAAACGCCCATAATTTCTATAAAACCATAAAGGTTATTTCCTAGATGAAAGTTAACCTGATATTATCTTGGATTGTTCCTTCCAACTTTTTCTTTTACTTCCGTTACAATTATCCGTTTATCATTCAGTTTTAGACAAACTCTATGGATTTATGAAAAATAAACGCCAACTTGTGTTGTATGTTGATCAGAATTGGTTTATATAGCTCATATATGATTCTCTTACTCCAAGTGGATAAAGTAACTATATATGTGTAAAAAATGTTTCATATATAACGAATGGTGTATTATAGTTAACTATGATGGGGGTAAAAATAAAATTTTTTCGAAGTAGGTGAGGTAAAAGATGACCTCGGGAATCGTCGTCAAACTGAGTGAGTTTTCCGGTAGGAATAAATAATAGATGTCGCTTTAAGGATCGTACTACTGTTTAACTTCAGCATTCTGTGACCCAAATATAGAATAGTGTTTGGTTGAGACAAGAGTAAATTGACATTAAGACTATGTGGGATAACAGAAGGGTTCGGCAGCATAGTTGACAGAGAACTGAGCCTCAGATTCGAATCCTGTTGCAGCCCAGGCTTTCAATTACACTCCCAATCATCACCCATCACAACAAGAAAAATTATTATTTCAAGGGT